TTTAGCAGGGTATGTTGCGAAAGAGACCGTTGCAAGATAGTTTCCGAAGCAGTTCTCTTCTTCAGGATTGGTTTCGGGTCCGCGTACAAGGTCGGAGTTGCAAGCCGGCTTGGGGGAGGGGAGACATTCAACACACTCGCTCGCCTCCTGCAGGTTTTCAGGGGGCCGTATAGCCACGTTACATCGCAATCTTTAAGCCTGGAAATTGTATTAGCAAGGAGAACACGTGAGCAGAAATGTGAGGCCGTCCACTGACCAGTTGAGAGTTTCCGGTGACACCGTTCCCCGCTGTAGCTTCACTTTTGCCCACGTCCGCCAAGACGCATTCTCAAGTCTCACGCCGTTATCGTACACGTTCCGGCGAGCAACCACATAACGCCACGAGGCCCATATGTCTTCCTCATCCCATTCGTGGGAAAGATAATCAACATGTCGGGAGGGCTCTTCTTCGATTGTAATGTCGTCTGCCGCGGGGGTGTGTGGGTTCAGGTGACGGGTATCTGCCAATGAAGCCGTAGAAGTGTCACTGGCGGTCTCGGATTCTTTTGGTGCACACGAGTTCGCGTCGTATGGTGGCAACAAAAGCTCTTCCTCATCCAGCTGGGCGTTTAAATCAAGGGATAGGCTACTAAGCGTAGGGGTGGGCAGTGATTGATCGGTTCTAGGAGACGGAGGTATGGAGGACGGCGCTGAAGAAGTCGTTGAGCTGGGCCAGGAGTGTACCGGATACTGTTGTTCGTTGGAGGCCTTGTGGAGGACAATGCTGGTGTCATCCAAGAAGTATCGTTGAGCGGCAGGACATCGGGATTGGTACGAGGGGAAGCGGGAGCGCTTCTGCGAGGTGGCGGGCAGCACGGCAGTCATTTTCACGGCGAGGCATGAATCTGGAAGCTGCAGATCAAAGAGGGATTGTACTCGCGAGAGCGACCACCATTATACGGGGAGAGAGGAAATGAGAGGTTGATAAAGGCGATACGATATATAATTATTGTGACCGCAGGCGGGCAGGTGGAAGTATTCGAGAGAAGTCCCTTCAAGCTCTTTCACAGTACCACAAGGTATAAAAACAGCGGATGATTCGATGCGGGTGGATGGTTTGACAGGCAATGCGACACCGGAGAAGGGGGGGACGGACGACTTTGGAATTTTCTTTTTTGATAATCAAGAATTCCCTTGATTGGGGGGGGACACAAGTAAGGATTTAAAAGAAGGGAGGGAGAGATAGAGAGAATGTGGGAAAACAGGGAAGAAAATCGTGTGGCGAGCGGAGGAGGTGTATGTTCTCAAGGCATTGTTTCGTGATCGGGGCCGATAGGAAGATGATGCTAAGGATTGATGATACAACAAACACTAGAGCAAATCCATGCTAGAAAGTGGAGGTGAAGTTATAAGCAGATGGTGGAGTGGGGATATAGGTAGTTCTCTAAAAAAATAAAAAAAAGAGAGAGAGAGGGATAATTTTAAAAAAAATAATAATAATAATAATAATAATTTTTATTTTTTTAAAAATAAAATAAATAAAATAACAAAGAGAGAGAGAAAAGGACGGGCGAGGAAGTATGAGGCCGATCAAATTAATATTATTATTGTTATTATGGTTAGTTAGGATGAAAGAAAGAGGAGGAGGAGGAGGAGAAGAAGAGGAGGCTAATCATCCGGGGGGCGATAGGAGCGATAGGAACTTACTCAATTGCCACCAGAACGCGTTTTAGCGTTTCTTTCTGACAGGGCTAGAACTTATTATTATTATTATTATTATTAAATTTCTTCGTGCAAAAAAAAAATTTAAAAAAAAACAAAATAGATTTTTGTCTATTTTGTTTTTTTCAAATATATGTACAGTATATTCTTTTTCTGTTTGTCTTTTCCTCCTCTATTTAGTTATTTATTTATATATAGTATATGATTCAGTGGTGTAATTGCAGAACTCTAACCAGATAACTAACTCCCTTCAAGTACTTTCCTTTCATCAAGACTCAAAGTCAACCCTAAAACTAGAACGTGCGTAAATCTCCCGGTTTCATCTTGCTATTATTTGTCGTCGGATTATTATTATTATTATTGTTATTATTATCAACATCAACATCCTGGTTTTATTTTCTCATATTATTTGATGATATTTTGACTTTCCAACTGGTTCCCCACATGAGTGGCCTAGAGCTTCTCCCGATCGACAAGATGGGTGGACTAAAACTACCCCTAGTGACTAACCTGCGCCCGTTTGATTATTATTATTGTTAGTATTATTTGACTTGGTAGAGGATCAAGCCACCACTGTCAATGCACCATTACCACGTTACGTATCCGAGGATCTTACTTCGATCGGAAACCCTGAATGATGGTGTTGAGAACTCAGGAGGTGAACAATCTATCCACCGTAGATAAGCCCTGCCTCCAATCCTTGCTCTTTCCACATATATAGATATATACCTAAGATACATAGATACATAGATACGTGCTTGAACTATGATGAGTCAATAAGGTAAGACTTTCCCAGGATGGAGGAAATCGGAATCCATCCTTGGGGGAGTTTCGCCTTCAACCTCCCAGCTGGTCGGAGTAACCCGGAATCTTCCTCCCCCCTTTAGACTTCTCTGGATACGATGCACAGACGTTGGGTGGAGCCACTGCATCAGGGTGTTCCAAAGGTAACCTACTCAGTACTATTCCGTACTAACAACTTCGACTACTGTACAGACTAAGGCAAGGCTGTCGTAGTTTTTTAACCTAGCTTCCCCCCTGATAAAAATGCCCAGACGATCCGAGCGTCTGTCTCGACCTTCATATCGACCCACTATCCAGGTCAATGTCAAGTTGACTTTCCTGGAGGGGTAAGCCATGGTTGAGAATTTGATAGTTACCAAAGTCTCCTCGGGAAGTCACGTAAGGTTGACGTTTTCCATTTGGGGACTTTACTCTTGATAGATAGGCTATCGAACCAATCCGTTGTACGGAGTATACGTATACAGTAGGAGGAGATGGGAACCCAAAACCAAAACCACGATTGCATACAACGGCCCCATGCACGTCAGACGGCGGGTATCAGACCTAGTGGGGATTGAATACGTACATTATTATTAGCAGTAGTGATAGTAGTAGTATGATTTACATTGCTTGTCGCTTCACCTTCCGGTACTTTCTTCGCGCTCTCTCGCTCTCTTTTCAACCAAAGAAGATAGGTTAATCAGACGAGATGAGGTAGAAAATAACTTTAAGTCGAAAGAGAGAGATTTCTAAATTCTCCATGTGGAAGGGAATTCGAAACGAAAAGTCTACGACCCTTATGATTCAAGAAGCAACATAACTAACTATTGAAACATGATGACGTGAATCTTCAAGTCTGTCACATCAACCTCCGCATCAGTGGCTGGCCGGACGGTCCTCCTATGGATTCCCGGACCAGGGGAATCCGAGAACAACAACTCTGGCCCAAGGGAACAGACAACGATTGAGCAATACGCTTTGCCGATAGGCTCCCCCTTGGATATTGCAAGGTCAATCAGGACCGTTCCACGGCAATATCGACTCCTAGCTTTAGTGTGGCTATCGCGTCCCGCTGGGAAACAGAGGCCCGTGTGAATGCCGAAAAGACTAGGTAGATGATTGATAGCAATATCTACGAGGCCAGCGCTAACCGACTAATACTATGGGTCGGGACGAGTCGTCGATCAGTCTCGGCCACGACGTAGCGCGGAATCTCCGCCGCAATCGATTGATTATCCGAGTAGTATATATAGATAGATATAGAGAAAATCCCTCGGGGAATTCACACGAGACAAGTGAACAACATACTTAGGTAGGCACCCACCTTCTAGTGTCAGTTTTTATTAGCCTATCATTGGCAGGGTTAATCGAATTGCGTTGTTCTTCGTCATTCGGATTTCGCCCCATGCAACTAAGGACAGCAGTTAGGAATTAATGACCATGTATGCGGGATCCACTAATAAACAACGATAGTAGGTGCATGGTTGGCGCCCGTGCACTTGCATGGTCCTGCAGCTTGACCCTTCGTGACTGATATGGGCGTGGGCTCCTCCATTGGCTGTCATGCTTGTCAGAGAGCGACGAAGCGCTCAGACGCGGGGATATCTTGTCCTATCCACCACAGTCAAATCATTCATTAATTAATTAATGTATACCTGGAAGAGACATTTTCCCTGATTTTGGTCCAGCCCGCTCCTTCCGATCTGGCCCCTCTCGAAAATATCTCAAGAAGTTCTTTTGGGCCTTCACCAACGGGGCTCATGCTGGTTGTGTCCTGAACAGCTGTCTGTCCCCTCACCCCCTCCCTGCTTAGGGATTTTGTGCAAGCCCCCCATGGATATGATCAATTTCCTTTGAATCCGTTAGGCTTTCTAGACTCTCCAGACTCGAAATTCTAGACCTGCCAGAACTTCAAAAATAGTACAACGGTTACTACAGGAGCTCCCCTCAATCAATCTAGCCTGTTGCTCCTCGATAGGCACCTCGCTAGCCCATAATGCCGTACTAACCAAGAAGAAAACGAAAATAAAACTGGAAGTAACTATTTACACTAGGTATGAAATCTCGTCCATCCGAGTATCTCTGAAACATATATCACACCCATTATAAAAACCCGTGCCTGAGTTGGTGTGCCCCTGAATAAAGACTCTCGAGATATAGTATCTCTAAGATTCGCGTAAGCTCGATTATTTGATAAATGGTTGGTTTATACTGAAGTGAAAACATCAGGGTTGTCCTGGCCGTCGCGTATGTAAGTAGGTAAACGTGATGCAATCAATAAATACTAGCCGCACATTGAGTGAGGGCAGGCAGTCAGTATATATAGACCCAGCCAGAGGAGAAAGAAGATGTACAACTTCAAAAAAAAAGAAAAAGAGTATTTCCTTACATTAGCACTATTTATTATCTATTACATATATATATATATATATATACAATCAAATTAATAAATAAATAACATCTGTCCATCAAAACAAGAAAGGAGAGAAAAAGAATAAACAAAAGAGAGAAAAAATCGACAACTGACGGGTTCGAACCGTCGCGGACGAATCCAACAGATAACTTAATACATTACGCATTTATTCAAGTCTGTCCCCTTAACCACTCGGGCAAGTTGCCTTACATAGTGGGATCAGAGTTTTAATTACATATATGTACCTACAAATTAAACTATTACAGACCCTGTCAGTTAGCCAACGGTATATTGTCAAAAAGCAGGTCTAGGTTTTTCTTAAATATTTGTCCGATATTAGATGATACAATGCAAATTTAATATTATACATGCCCCGGCAATCTATGCCATTTCCAGATTATATTGAATCCAGTGGGTATGAAAATGTATGGCTAGCCACTGGAAGCGGCTAGTGCAAATCCAACCCCGCGGCATATCGATATCGCGGACAGAGCTTGGAAACAATAATTAGTTGCTCTCTGCCTATCCATCCATCCGTCCTCCCACTTCTCCCATTTAACTCCGCCCTTCCATTTCTACGAAAAAATGGCCGAAGTCGCAGCATCTGGTCCCCTTGAATCCCATGCACAGCATGTTGTGTATTGCGGAGGTGAGTCTGCTGTTGAGTCGAAAAAGACACCCAATTCCTACGTATCGTTCAAAGGCTAACTCAACTCAATGAGCAGTTTGCACTCTTCCGCCGGAGGTATTTTCCACCCCCCCCCCCTCACGGACGGACAAGACTGTCACACTCTTGGGTAGTTACTAACTCAACCCTCCCCAGTATTGCGAATTCGGTGGGACGGCAAAGAAATGCGAGGAATGGCTGAAGGAAAACAACTCAGACCTATACCAACGTTTATACTCCGACGGTATGGTGTTGATATTTCAAGAGAAACGAGGCGACCTCATACTAATCTGGACGTCGCAATTTATCTAGAAGCTCTCAACTCCAACCTATCCTCACTATCGGTATCGGTGCGCGAGAGGGTCGCCCGGGATGCGGCAAAGAAGGAAGCCAAAGCCGCCCAAGTGGAAGCACGGGATGCGGAGAAAAAGGCGTCTTCGAAAGTTCAGATCAAGCGCGTTGAGCGGAATAAGCGAAAGCATGTTAGTGTCATTGCGGGCCTGGGAATATATGGCTTGGAGAACAAGAAGGTTGCAAAGGAACTCGGCAAGAAGTTTGCAACCGGATCCTCAGTGACGAAGTCTGCCTCTGGGACTGAGGAAATCACAGTGCAAGGAGACGTGAGCGATGACATCAAAGATTGGCTGTTGGATGTATATGGGAAAGAGATCCCTGAAAGCAATATTGAGATTATTGAGGATAAGAAGAAGAAGAAGGCAAGTGATCAAGCTTGAATTGGCATTGTCGTATAATGAATGTTTCAGTGTCTATTTCATATTGGGTATCACGTTATTATGATATACAGGTTATTGGTTTTAAAATCCAAGTAATTGAGCAAAGAAGGCCAGCCTTAGTGCGGAACATCGAGGATGTCAGTAATACGCCAAAACAATCCGAGGGAAAGTCCGACGAGGGGTCATATCAAAGTTCGTCCAAAAGCCGTAAAGGATCTTGTTCGGTAGGCTTTGGCTCCGCAGCGCGTCCAGGGGAAGTAGATGTGTACATTGGACTAGAGATTCGGAGATCGGAAATGTGCTCATCCATGGGGGTTTCTCCTTTGAAACGACCCGAGGGTAGTATATGCTCCCAGCTCTCTGTGTCTCGCAAGAACTTGTGGGAAGAGCCATTGCCCAGTGGTGCTGCTTCTGCAGTTACACCAGAGTCCAATTGTGAGGACCAGTTTTGAATGGCTAGCGCAACGACAACAGTGAGTATTCCGCCAATTGCCACGGCCCAAAATAAGCGCAGGCGTCGGTTTATGCGCGTTTGATACTCCACCTCTCTCTTTTCCCAGTGGTCGATCTCCGCTCTCATCGCTTCCAGTTTGCCGCTTAGAGCACTTGCCCTCGCTCTACCCACCCTCATACGTTCTTCGAATGATTCGATTCGTTGTATCTGAGGTTGAAACTCCCTCAATTCCCCAATCTGTTTGCGAACATCCTGCTCCAAGCTTGCCGTTTCGCGCTCAAAGTCAGCAAAGAGTGTCGACGTAGAGTCTGCCAGTTCTTGGAATGAGGACACGGTTGTATTCAAAGCTGCAATCTTCTCCAACAAGTTATAATACGTATAATCCAATCGGCGGGTGATGTCAGTTGCAAGGGTTCCGATGAACGACAAGGCGGACCGTAAGAATCTATCATAACCCGGTTAGTATGGAGACGTGTGTTTAGGGTGATGCAGAAGAATGAACTTGCTCTTCACCCTGTTTCCTCCTATCCTTCACTTGTTCCAGATCTTCTGCTGACCGGACATCCTGTGGCCTTATCAAGCCCAGTTTATTATTAGGATCCATCTCATCCAATATACTTCCTTTCCTACTCCCAGTACCATAACCAACAGTAGAGTCCGATCCCCAACGCGAACGGGTGGTTTCTCGGGTCACTGGTCTCAGAAGGCCATCATCTGTATCTTCCTCCTTCTCTCGCCCACCAGACCAAGTCGGTAACAAGGCCCTCGCGCCTGTCGATGAGGTGATGGGGTTCATGATTCGCGGGAAATGAACCTCGCGCGATTTGCTATGCTTGTGTTTGTGCCGTGTCCGCAACTTCGTTGGGTCTAAACGAGCGCCATCAAAGACCGGTAAATGACGGTGGTGATGCTCCTCTCGAGGAGTATTGGTGGGATTGACATGGCCGCCACCATCGCCGCCATTGCGGGCATCAACCCCTGGGTTTACTGCAAGCGGCTTGTCGGGGTTGGGCGGAGAGATAATCTGGCTCGCAGCGGCAGCGGAACCGTGGGTGAGTGGGAAAGTGGTCGATAACTGTCTGGACGGAGAAAGATGCAGCTCCATTTCCGAACTTCCTGTCAAGATCGCAAGAAATATTCTCTCCAGATTCTGGAAATGACAAGCGAAGAAGGAGGGATCACAATAATCTGATGCTCGTGCGTCATGGTGGTTGAAGGTTCGAAGGTCACACAACACATGACGCGCCAAGGCCGATCGCCGGTTTGATTGCGGGAAGGAACATTTCTTGATCTCTCTATTCTGTTGATCCAAATCTTGATAATAATATACCGATACAAACAATGAAGGCTAGTTGCTCAACACTCGAAAAGAAAAAGAAAGAAGGAAAAGAAAATGGAAGATAACTAAACCCCCAAAACTTAAAAGCTGTATCCCTAAGCCTAACTCCTAGATCGCCGTTTTAAGTCCAATCACAACCCATTCCCTCAAAGGATATCAACCAATCCATCGCCGCCCAAATTCCCTGAAGAAATCAGGAACAGCATATATACAAGCCAGAAAAGGTAATTCCTATCCACATGCATGCACAGACTTACGCGCTAGGGAAAGAGGAAGGGCAGGGAGGCAGGCGACGACGGACAACAGATACACTCAACAGATCCAATTCGCTCGACGATCAAGAGTTCAGGAGCTTGTTGCGCTTTTCCCGTCGTTTCAAGCGCTCGACCCGCTTATGATGCATCTTCTCAGCCATCTTCTCGAATCGCTCCTTCTCCTCCTTCGCGGCTCTGCGGTCTTTGATCTTTTGGATTTGGGCCTGTGAAGCGTGGTAAGCAAACCGTGACAGCCAGGATTACACTAGGAACATCGTATATCCTCACATTTCGCTCCGCTTGTTTCTCCTCTTTTAATTCCCGCTCATGTTCCTTAACAACTTCAAGCTGCTTGCGGGCTTCCACTCTCTTCGCATACGAGGTCAACCCCGAAGTAGGGCGGAAGGGTTTTTTAGTCTCACGCCAGTTTTTGCCTGCGGGTCCGGGACAGATTAGCAAAAAACCAATTATCAAATTGTGTCCAGGGAAGGAGTGTTAGGGGGGGGTGGGAAACAGGGGGAAAAAGATAAAAGAAAAAGTGGGGGGGTTTTCTATTACATACCATTTTTACGCATCCCCTTGACGGGCTGAGCGGAAGACACAGACCCCGAGGCGGACATGGTCAATAAGGGAAATGAAAGAAAATGCTAGTTCCAAAGGGTAGGGGGGAAGATGTGGAAGACCAGAAGGAAGGGAAGATGAAAAAGTTGTTGTCCGGGGAGAGCTTGTTTGAACAATGATTGATTTTGATTTTTTTTTCCCTTTCCTGAGGAAAAAGTTATCTTAGACCGATCAGATAACCGGATCTCGGCAGAAGTAGGGATCCGATTCCACTTTGAGGCATCTGCGCATGAGGGATTTGCCCAACGACGGATCCTCTTCTGAAATTATCGTCAGAGTTCCCCCCACTAGCCTCCATCGCTCGCGTCTTGGCTCATGACTTGACTGGTAAAGCGATGTTTCCTTCTTCTTCGTCTTCTTCCTATTATTATTATTACCCTTGTTGAAACTGTACCAACTGCGTGGACCGGAGCCGACCACCCCTCCCTTCCCTTTCGGTGACACACCGCCCCTCTTCCAAGTTAAAAGGACCTTCGCTCCCTTCGCTTTCTCCTTCTGGTATATACAATGCTCTCCCCTTAGATTTTAAATACTGCCTTTCCCTATACTTCGCTTCCTTTCAGCCCACCCCGGCCCTTGCCTTCTTCTTCTCGCGCCACCGGAGCTTGTCGGCCTGCAACTCTCTACTCCCATGGCGGCTGCAGATCATGCGATTCCCATCAACAATGAAATACAAATGGAGCTTCCTACCCTCCCCCCTAATCAAGCCCTCGAGGGCTTGAAGGATGTAGTCTTTGGATCGGTAAGTCCTCTTCCCTTCGAGAAGTGGATCCGCGAAACTGATTATCTTTTATCAGGCCGCGGGAATGGCAGGCAAAGTCATAGAGTACCCCTTTGACACGGTGAAAGTACGGCTCCAATCGCAACCCGACCATCTCCCCCTACGATACACGGGTCCCTTGGATTGTTTCCGTCAATCTCTTCAGGCAGACGGCATTCGAGGGCTCTATCGAGGAATCAGTGCGCCAATGGCTGGTGCCGCCATAGAGAACAGCTGCTTGTTCTTCAGCTACCGCCTCATTCAGGACATAATCAAGGCGACCTGGTACCCTTCTTCCGAACAGTTGCCATTTTCTGTCTTATTGCTCAGCGGTGCTGTATCGGGATCAATTACCTCGCTGGTGCTCACACCCGTTG